ACACACACACACACACACACACACACACACACACACACACAGTCAATATCTATTTCAGTCCTACTCAGACAAGGAAAGTAGAGCACCTGTAAGCCCACAAACTAATGCTCTCTGTGATCTGTCAGCGTGTCACATGGTCTCATGCGGGAATGGCATTCATGGTGGAGTGCATCTTCAGAGAACTTTTAATACGCTCATTTGCTCCTGGCACATACTGAACCAGAGCTTTATCATGTCAATTGGATTATTCCTTTATTTTATTTATATATTTTTTTTTGCTCAATATCAAAATAATGGTTTTTCTTTTCAAGATAAACACACTGATTCATCAGTAAAATATTACAAATTGCTGACCTCAGGGCTGAAGGAGTGATGGCCGAAGATGAACTCCACCATAATGTGACGATGTTGTTGTTACTACATCTAAATAATGACGTGTAACTGCATCTTTCAGCTCATAACACACACACACACACACACGTGACTACGACTAACAGTGGAACCTTTGTGGTTTGATGGTCAATGATAAAGGGGTCGGGTTATTTTAAAGGGTCATTTTGAGGACTTTACCTTGTTCTCCGAAATGTGTGTGAACTTGCAAGAAATACAAGACAATAAAAAATCACCATTTGCACCACAATTATATCCACAATTGAATTTTCAGTCGTCTTCAGCCTTTGTGTAAGATACACGACTGCCGTTTTAATGCATCACACACAATGTCCCTTCTCTTACTTACATGGTTGATGTAAAGGCTCTTCCGTTTCTCTCGAACTGAAAAGGGAAGACGAGAGAACAGGCATCAGGCAGCAACACACACAAACGCTCGAGCTCAGTGTGAGTGCAGTACACAACCCTCACAGACAGGGAGCAGCATTTATCCAGGGTTTATAAGTTCCCTATCACTATAGCTGTGTTTGAATATGCGGGAATGAGTGTGAGCTAATCCATTCATCGTCTCGGCCTCCGTGAGTCCAAATGGAATGAAGCAGAGTGACGGCTTCCTTCAGGTGGAGATTGTCTGTTTTCCTTTCTCTCCGCTCATACGGATGCTGATTCTGCTTAATGGCCTTGGTGATCTGTTAGTTCTACAGAGCTCACTGAGCTGAGCTGTGAGGTGCACGCGCACAAGCTGTGTGTCGGCACTGGTGCAGCTGTGTGTGTTTGTGCATCCATGTGGGTCTGTTTGTGTGATGTAGGAGAAGACACGACGGCGGGTGGGGGGGAGATCGGTGGCAAAGCAAATCCGGAGTAGATGCAGAGCGCAGCATCACGCACACAGTGACGTAGCGAGCTGTCTGGCGCCTCTCACATCTGTGACACACACACACACACACACTCTAATGCACATGTGTTGTTTTTCCTCCTCCTGTGTGCGCTGCTTTCTAGCAAAGAGCAGCAGGCTCTCACCTCATAATTAGGGCTTTGTGTTTTAGTGAGAGAAAACAATCCCGACCGCAGTCATTTCAGTATTGATTTCTGAAATAATAAGTAAGAAAATACGTTTTTTTTTTTCTACACATCAACACTGACACATTTAATACTCTTCGCAAAGATGCGCAGTGGTGCTCCTGTCACATCACAGATTCCTCCTCCCAGTGGAATCATTCACATATCCTCTGTAGGAGAGACGTCTTAAGCTCCGCTGGTCTGGGGAAACAAACTGTTTGCTTTTTTTTGCAGCCCTATTCCTACTGGTGCACCTTACAGACCGACATGCACATGGGCACAAACACACACACACACACACACACACACACACACAACATGATATCAGCAGCTCAACAGTGGAGGCACATCACCCGCTGACAGAAATACATACAGATCCAAGTACAGGAAAACAAAAAAGCTTGTGACCACGTGAAAAGTGAAGCCCAGAAACACACAGTGAGCGCAGTGCGACACGCCTACAGAGACCAGACACACACATGCTTACCTCTCTTGTTGGGCACGGCAACTGAAAAAACACAAAGTCCAAATTGTCTCTGTGTTTCCTGAGCATTAGTAGCCATTCATGTACAATATGTTGTGAAAACAGGCCAGCAGACGTTCACACAAGCGCTTGATGAGGCTGATAAAAGATCAGATCAATAGATCAGCCTCCTGGCAACAAAACCATCGTTGCAAATGGGACAAAAACCAAGCCTCTTATCATCAAAGTAAACAGATTGTGGCTTAGCTGAATCTCAGAAACCAACTTCATCACATATCAATTGATTAAGATGCATTACTGTCAGTCTGAGGGGTCCAGGCTGCTACCGGATCAGTCTCTCTCTGTCTGAGAGAGATGATCAAAACGCCGCGGTGTGCCTCAGAAAAAAATCAGACGCCGAGGCAGCTGCTATAAAATTTCCACGGGAGCCTGCCTGGAGCCTTCATGGTGGATAAAAGGATGTTGATCAACGGTACTTTTGTGTGGCTCCACATCTGAAATCCCCGCATCAATCGAACACCTTTCTTTGCCACGAAGCGGGCGGCCATTGTCTGACTTGCATGAATTTGAAACGTTAAAGACACCTTTTGAAATGATTCTTTGCAGGCTGCGTTCTGGCTTAATGTGCAATCTGCCACGTATATGGCGACACCGCTCTTTGAATGACTTGTTTTTTTTTTGGATCAATGGCAACTGATAACAGCATACAGTCAACATGAATGGTCGTCGGGGCCCTGAGGGAAGAGAGTTGATGTGAGGTGGCGAGGCCACGTGATGAAAACAACACACACTAGAGATCTTTGATGGAACTATCTGAAATGAGCGTGTCTAATGCATTCTGGAGATGCCCACATTACTGTATAGGCTTCAGGATTTTGTATCCAAGCATGTATGATGAGCTTACTTATTTGGACTGATGCTTTAAAATCGCACAACACATTCTTCAAGCTACAGTCTCCAGACGGAGACGCACACGGTGGTGCTACAGCCATCAGAGGACGCCGAAGAACTGAATCAACCAAAAGTAAAAGCCATTCTTTCCAACTCTGTGGACGACACGACCAGAAAGAATCATTTACATTGGTGCCTAGTACACACTCTAAGACTAAGAGCCCTCGCAGTAGCACATGACACAACTTCCCCTCGCATCACACTCCAGTGGCCTCTTCAAAAGGTCCTGTATGTGCCGGATACAATTAAAGACATATTTAACAACGCGCCCGCTCGCCAACAATCCCTTCACACTTCATGTGTGGAAGTTTCAAAAGAGGCGAGGTGCTCTCAATGCTCACCGTCGGTCTGTGACTTGCTGAGGAAGATGGTGCTGGCCCGGGGATGATCTGAGGGGTTGTACTCCATGGGTAGATCTAAAAAGAAAGAAAGAGGGGAAACAATACATTAATACTAATAAAGATTTCTTTTGACAACAGGATCATCAGTTCAGTATGTTAGGAATCGCAAGCAATGAACACAAGGCCGTGGTGTGTTTGCCAAAACTACAAGCCATTGTGGAGGTGAACTGTGTGGGACTGGATTTAGGGGTTAACCACGTCTCTTGCAATGGACCAAACTGAACGGAAAAACAATCTGTCGGCCGACAGTTTAAACGGCGGTTTGTGAATCGATGTGCTAAGCAAACACACCAGAAAGGTATAGATTTGCTTGTGTGTCTGTAAACAACACGTACAACCTGGGAACAACCACCAGATTAAGACAGCAGCTGGCAATAGAAAGAGCAATAAAATCCCAAGAAGAAGATCTTTGAGCGTTCGATGAGCTGGTGAACTGTGACAACAGGTCTGGACCACATTTATTCTCTGAGTCTGCAGGTACAGGTGAGTCTTTTCACACATATAAGTAGAAAAGAAATGTACCTGGACTAATGTCCAAATAACCGAGTTAAACATGCAAATGTGTGTAAGCTAAATAGGACAACCACATTTAAGACTGAGCTTGCATTTATTATGAATTTAAACATACATTTTTGATTTGAAACTCGAAGATACACAAGATTAAAAGTGACTGAACTCCAGAGACTAATTCATGTCTCAAATCATGAAAAAGCTATTTGCTACTCAACATTAGTCGGACTGTTCAGATGTTAGACACTACCTGGGTGAACCATCCCCTGTACCTTCATTCATTTGATTCTGGGTTACTTTCTGAAATGTCTTTTTTTACATGTCACATGATGGTAGAAGAGAGTGTGACTGCCTCTGGCTGACTGGTGTGTAACAAAGAGAAAGTGAGTTTTTGCACAAATTAGTTTTTCATTAATTATTAATTCTACTGGCAATTTTTTTTTTTGCATAAGGTGATCAATTGTTTAGCCTCTAAAATGTCAAAAGAATTGTGAAAAATGCCCAAAGTTTCCAGAGACATCCTTTTGATACTTTATTATTTTTACTGTTAACAACCATCTTCCTTTCTTTTTGGACATGCTTGCAGCTACCGACACTGCTGCCTGGCTGACGGCTGCTACGGGAAACCATTGAATTCATGTATACATATTCATTTTTTGTCCTAGTTCTTTGCCTCAATTAAACCCCTCAGGCAAAAAATATTTGTTATTGTTAAATTATAGATAATAAATTTGTGGCGAGCGAAACAGAAAACCCCCGTCCCCCGTTGTTTGAACAGCTGATTGGTACGAGATCTCCGCAGTCTTATAGAGGCCTGGTGAAGAGATTTAATATCCTGCTCAACCTCAAGTAAAACATTTGTTAACATAAGGTTATGGTCATTATCATAAACCGGTCTAGGTTAATCATTACCTAAAACTGTAATACTAACGCTTGAAGTCTCAACACAAGCAAGGAAACTAAACTAAAACTATGACGCGCGCACACACACACACGCACACACACACACACGCACACGCACACACACACACACGACATTGTGTGGGGTGGTGACCCCATCAGCGGCTTCCTGGTTTCTTGGATGATGTCAGTGAACCAGGAAGGGTCAGGAGGAAGGGACCAACACCCAGACTAATAGAGAGAAAGAGAAAACAGATGCGGAGAGAAGCAGGGACGGACGGAGGAAGAGCGACAAGCTGATAATGAGGGCGAAAAGGACAAGAGAGCTGAAAATGAAGTGACGGGAGTGGCGCCTTTGAAACATGATGGACGGGGAGAGAGAAGACAGCGAGGGGCGACGAGAGGAGGGAGGGGAGGAAATGATAGAAGGTAATAGAGATGAGAGGGGAAGGAGTCAAGATGGATGTGAGCAGAGGTGGGGGGGGGGGGGGGGGGGGAGGAAGTGAAGAAGAAAAGGTCAACCAGCTTCAGTAGAAAACCTTGTGGAAATGAACACGGTGGATGTAAAACTGTAGTTTAGATCCACCATTAAAGCACACTATATCATGGCGACTACGAAGCATACCTGAGATCACAGGCCTCTCTCAGTACACTGCAGGTCACACATGCCAGCCAAAGCTATTGTGTCCCAACTCTTTTGAACTGCTGTCTTTTTGTGTTCGAGAGCCACTTGAGGAGCCTCAAAGGGTGCGCACATGCACACACACACACACAGCCATGATGTAGGAGGAAGTGACACACACGGTGCTGAATAAAATATGGGTGTGTGGGAAGAAGCAAAGAGCAGTGAAGGAGAACTGAAGGTGGATTAATGATGCTGGGCGCACACAGACGCTCAACTGTTGGTGACGTATGCAGTGCACGCACAGCGCACTCACACGTACGTGAGTTACAAAATAACTTGAACGCTGACTTTCTGTTTTGTGAGATAAAAACGTTTGTACTTTCGCATAAATAATTTAGAGAGTCTTTTTAACTGGTGATGTCACATTTTGAACACAGGAAGCCGACTGGCCACAGAAACGGGGCATGTCCCTCTACATGGCTGCCGTCAGTGACCTTTGGTGTGGTTCCACTCCTCCCCAGTTTCTCTCCAGCACCCGACTTCCTGCGTTTCAGGAAGTGGGAGAGGAAATGAAGTAGGGGGGGTGACGGTTACGCATTGTTAGGGAGGTAGGCTGAACAAAGGGTGGAGGGAATGGGTCGCTGTGTGGATTTAAGCCACATGTGTTGCACTATTTATGCAGAAAACACACGAGCACACCTAATGAAAGATGGAAGACAAAGCCGAAAGAGGACAGCCACTAAAGCCGCCCCTCTTCCCGTAGCTCTCCTCTGATCCACGCTCCATTCCAGTCGGTAGCGCGGCATAATGCACAGCATCACCTTTCTTTTTCTTATTATTATTATTGGCAAACCAGTGACAGGTGCATACGCCGCCCACTGAAGTGTGGAAACAAACTTGTGCTTGCGCACTTCAGGTTTAGGTTACGGTAGGCATTGTTGCAAATCAACGAGCAGGACTGCTATTTTTGTTTTATGATTTTTGCATTAATGTGAAGAAGTACTTTGATTTGTTAGGTATGTATTTTATGAAAAACACCATCTAGTCATTTTATCCATAAACAGTGTCTTGGTTGATTCTCCCCAGACATTTATTATATCACAATATACGTACAGGACAAGAGGAAACTGCCGCCGTTAGTTACATTGTGAACAGGAATATGTGTAATATTATGGTTAGCGGTTGGCCCTCTGCCCGTCTGCCCCGGGAGCCTGTCATGAGGGTGGCTTCAGGTTGCAACATCAGCCCAGACAGGAAGGCCCTCTGCTGGGTTTTTTCGGCTGCTATGCTGAGGTACCAGCCTGAGGGGATCCAGATGGCGCAGCGCGGCTGTCAACGGCATGCTATCAAACAATATGCCCACACGGCTAAGATCAGCAGCGCACAGCACATCTTGTAACGGAGTGCTGGAGAAAAGAGCACAAGATGCAGCTGCTGATTGAAAATAGATTGGATAAAAGAAACGCCGTGCTGCCGTGATGGCTTTACCTTTAACAATTTAAGTTCTCAGCTTCTCAAGTGAAGTTTGGAGCGGCAAAGCACACCGTTTCCATCCAGTACTTATCACAGCTCAACCCGTGTGACTGCTGCACCGCATGATACTGTGAGTTGGCCCTGATAACACTTCTGTGGAAGTGTGTGTGTGTGTGTGTATGTCTTGTAATGTGAGAAAGAAGGACAGTAACACACCGAGAGGAGAGGGAACACGGAGGTTAACTGAGCGTGCTCAGTGGGCATCGTTACTGAGTCATGTATGGGCTGTGAACGTGCGGCAGAGAGCAGATCTCGACCCCATGTGGCGTCACTGTACAACAGCGAGTGTTTTTGCAGTCCCAAAAAACTCCCACAGAGCGATACGTCTTCCATGTAAAGGATCACGTGACGCCAATTTCACGTTGTTGCCTAAATATCGAACTTCTCCCTAAAATACTGCCGGTTGTGTGGTGTTGGCATTTTGAATCTGAGAGCACCAACTGCTGTGCGTCAAATGCGGCGCGTCATTTCTTCGCCATCAGTGCGTTGGGCCCTTTAAGTGACTCTCACCTTGGGTAAGGAGGCGCTTGGGAGGGAGCATGGAGGGAGCCTCTGTGCTATCTGTGTTATGGCATTCACCGCTGTACCACTTAATGACACAGCCGCCGTGTTTTCATTTGAACAGCGCGTGCGATAAGCGGGAGCGGGACTGAGTAAAAGCTGCACTGATAAGACTTTTATGTAGTGAAACACCTTAATAGCAATATCAAAGCTGCTCACATTGCAGTGGTTATAGTCAGGAAATCGGAGGAAAAGAGCTGAGCTGTTATAAAGGAAAAGCCAACAGGGACAAGAGGATGGAGGGGGAAGGAGTTGGGGAAATTTCACCTCAACTACACAGAAAACTGATGACTTCAGCAGAACTCAATCACATACGTGCGCATCATGTGTGTGTGGTCCTTCTCATAACTTCTTGGTTCCAGAGGATTCACACAGAAGCCACGACATCTCGTTTCCGTCACTTCCCGATGTCTTAAGATGAGGCATATGTGTACAAGATTACAAGCAGCAGCGGCCCGACAACAAGTGTAGGATGTGTTGCTGTGCCACTTGAGTGAAATGCTTGGTGAAAAATTAATGAGAGGCTTTTCATTTTTTTTTAACAGTTAAGACATCCGTAGCCTCTCCCACGGTCCTATATACAAGCACACATATACTGTAGATCCACGGAAGGTCAAAAGTTCCATGTACCAAACACACCTCCTATCTGCCTCCACAGTCATGTCAGGACATGACTCTGGCTCTGACAGGGGAGGACTTCCTGGACTCACAAGACCTCAGCCGTACCGCTTTGTGTGTAGCGAGCGTTGCATTAAAGCAGCCGAGCAGCCCAAAAATTCCAAACAATCCGTCACAGTGATTTGTCACAGCGACGTTCCCTGGCAGCGTACCTGGCTATGTATCCCCATGTGGACCACTGCCGTTGATTACTTCTACACTTGACGGA